GGGGGGTAGCGCTCTCCAGATGATTTCCCCAATAGTGCACTAGTCGCTTTAAAGAGTCTTCGCTGATCAGCGCTGTTTTATTCAATAAATTTAAGATAGTATTCCCGCCTTGCTTGCTCCATCACGTGATTCGCGCGATTTCGTGATTTGGCAAACCGCTCCCTATCCAACTCAGATCCAGTTTTTCGCCAAAGCCTTTCATGTTTCCTACAAATTCGTTTCGCCTCCTTGACCATAACATTAAACCAAGGCACTCTGGGACGCACAGTTATTGTCTTTTCTTTCAACGGCGCATGTTTATCCAGCAAGCCAGACAATGTCGTGTTGTAACAAGTCACAAGATCTACAATCGATTCAGGAGGGTTTTGACAGAGCCTTCATGCTCTGAGATCTCTCCTAAATATTTCACGGTCTATATCCTTTATTTTCCGACAACTTACTTTCTTCTCCGACAACTTACTACATTGAAAAAAAGTAAAATTATTTTGCGCACTATTGCAAATAGTATTAGTACCTTACTGACAGCGTTTCACGTACTTCTTAAATGTTATAGGTACTTTTATAGAAAAGAGATTTCCCGTCATACCGACTTTACGAGTACAAATCTTATCTGCATTAAAAGTAAAATTTGAGGTTTTTTACTTATCTTTTTTATTCAATGATTCGCCCAAATCATTATAATTAAAATAAAACAAAACTAGATATTTCTAAGGTTGAAGTATACTCAGTACACAAACCTTAATGATCACACTTTTGATTTAGACCCTATATGTTAATGTCTCTGCGTTAAGAAGATTATATGTAAAGTGAATAAGAAAAAAACCTTTGAACAGCTAACTATATATTAACATGAAGAGAAGTTACTGTTATAGATGTATTATAAAATAGGAAGTATATATAATATAGGAAGTGCATTTTTTATTTTTTTCTTAAAAAGTACGATGAGATGTTTTGTCTTCAAACTACTATCAAGGTTTTACCAAAGGTCCACACCTTTCACTTAAAGTAAGTGCTAGACAGCATGCACGCTTACGAGTTTAGATATAAATTTCGAATGTTGTATTGGTGAATTTGGTTGTTGGTAATGAAATAAATTAGTAAAGAAATTTGGCCACAAAAACCGAACTTAATAACAATGGTTTGTACCACACGTTATCAGAAAAAGTAGTGAAAACGATATAAAAAATACATTTAACTAGATTTATTTACAACTTCCAATAAAAGTCTTAGTTTTTCTTTATGTCCCATGCACACTGAAAAAAGATTTATTCACCAGCAGACGTTGAATATTAGTAAATTAATTAAACAATAACTTCTTCTAAAATAACAACTTATTATCCGTGTCAGGGTATATCATATTTTAAATAGCTGTTATCCCGAATTGTCAAGGTCTCGGAAAGTTTTATCAGTCTCCACGTCAGCTCGACTGATAACACTTACCTCGACCTTGATAATTTCTGATATCACAAAAACCTCATCGAATAACCGTTTATTTCAGTATGGGAAAATGAAAGGATGAATTGCGAATACATTATACTGTTAAGAAAATGCTCTCTTCACTATCACTGGACCATGCATGCGCAGTTAATGATAGCACGAAACTTAACCGTTTTTGGATTATCATTTCCAGTATTAGTTTAACATAATACTTTTTTGTTATTTTCTTTTCTTTAACAATTTTGGAATATCAATTTTGCAACATCACTGCAAATACATGCCATTTCATGACAATACTCTTTAATATTTCAGTAATACTCCTCAATCCGTTAACTTTTTGTTTTGTAAATAGATCAAAAGCCCCAAGATGAGATAAGTAAAGCTCTTCGACAACTGTTATATCTTTTTGATATTATAATAAGTTCATATAAAAAAATGCTAGCACTTTTACCTTTATCTCCAATTCTTCATTTTCGTTTTCAACTATTGGAATAACAAGCTCTTCGTCGTATCTAAATTAGACAAAACCGTGGATTATAATTATTTTCTAAAGGCGTCAAGATCAAAGAAAAATATATTTGTGTGCAAAACACAACGAAGATATAAACGATGTAAATGAATGAATCACGGCCAATATTTGAAACACCAGAGTCCAAAGTGCAGTAGCTAAATATAGAGTGCAAACATGAATGTCAAACCCGTGAGCCCAGCGATTCGTATTCTACTTGTGGTTGCTGGACACATATCAAAGGTGTTTCTGTTGCAAGTGCTACAACCTGTATCGCAGAATGTTCCATATAATTTTAAGGATGATCATGACGCTTGTACATAAGGAGGGAAAATTTCCATTTTTCCTTTTACGAAGATGTTCATGCATTGTATTCACGGATTGCATGACATTTAGGACCAAAGCTAACATACAACGAGTACCTTGAACGGTGGGCTCAGAGACTCAGGAACAATATATTTTTTTGGTTCTATAACCGATAAACCAGCTGGATGGTAACTGGGTGTCAGTATCCAACCACACCTGATACTATTGCCCACGACTTCTCATATCACGTAACTTATTCCCACTGCAAATGATGCGGTTTGATAACAAAATATAACCTGGATTCAAGACTTATATTTCATCAGCGGTATACAAAACCAAGTCAATGGAACAGCTATCGAGTTGCTCATTCGCGCAACCAATGTTTTGCTCTTAATTCCACCGTTGGTGACATGCATCCTCCAAGGGCATAATATAATTTGACATTTAAAGCTGCAACATGCATGCATGTATAGTTACTAAACATCGACACTCCATATATGAATGGCATATCGTTTTCAACGGAAGCAACCTTAGTTAATTAATAGCTTTGTTTATGTCTAAATTTGGGGGCTTATTTTTACGCGTAACTGCATGTTTGACCACTGAGTAGAAGAACTCTGATACTAAGAGCATGTGGAGAGTACTTGCATCACTACACGTGCGCTTTTAGTATTATAACAAATTCAATTGACCTATATGTAAAGGAAAAGTGTAAAGAATGTTTACACTATAATGTCGAGATGCTGACACTGCAACCGACCGGGTACGAATTAATCGCACTACATTACCCATAGTTTCTTCCTGTTTTACAATTCACAATTATTTTTATCATTTGTTGATGAGAAATTCGGAATTCTTTTCCAGGAAATAACAAAGTGGCCATAACTGCATTCATAGAATGAATATGAAATACAGCACCTGCAGCTGGGAAGAAAGAAAACGGAAAATGATAAAATATATAAACTGTAGCAATAGACTTTAGAAGTGCTTACGTCAAGCATTGTTTTAATACAGAGGACTTCTGGGATGCACAGTGCGACATTGTGGGATACTTTTGAGTCAATAATTCATTGTTAAAATTACGTGTAGCAAACACGCGATGGCAGCTTTAAAAATGTGAAAGCCAAAAGTTTGTTTCCTTAAACGGACAGACGCACTTGTAGACTAGGGTTTAGACAAACTTGTGTGCTAGAACTGGTGTTACTTGCTGAAAAATTAACTTCTGAATGTCCCAACCGATGATTACACACAAGTTTCTCTGCTCTATTATTGTACCAGCACTTTATCCAATGGGCTATTGAGATGCTCGATTTAGACTCTCAGAAATGCCATATTTACACCCTAAGAAGAATATCCATTTACTGTAGGATGAACATTATATATATGACTGCGGGACGATAAGATTAACATTTCTACAGCGCAAATTTACACCTGGATATGATAAAATACGCTTTACATCAAGAATTATACGCTTACCTAATTTCATTTTTAGTCCAGACTATGTGATCTTTACAACAATTGTGATATTTCTTAACTGTGCATGTTTATCCTAACCCACCCGGTCAACTTTCTTTCTCTGTGGGAGAAAACCGGAGAGCACGAAGAAAACCTACGACTTTCGGCAGAGCGTTGACTGACTCTTTTCACATGATCCGTTTTATTTATTTATTCATTTAGCTTCGCTTCTTACACTAATAACAAGATAAACAAGCTGGGACAGCAGGCTTTACTGCATGTATATTGTATATAGTAAATAAATTACCTCTTTTGCGATATCCATTCATGAACATTGGAGTACACGAACTTTCCTTCATATTTAGGCTGAAATGAAAAAACCCATCTTACTTGCATTTAAATTAACGTGGTACTAATTTTCGCCAACTCTTAAAATCGCGCGATAAATTCAAGGTTACTTCCGTGTTAAAACGACATCTGGCCAAAGGCGGTCATTGCGAGCGAGGAGAGTGAACTAGAAAATGGATCAGGGGAAACTTTTCAGAAATTAGGCCTCAGAAGGTCAACTTTCCCTACAGTAAGCTCACTGAAGCCTTAGGGTTTTACAGAAAAGACACCTATATTTGCTACGGTCTGCGAAAAATTCACGCAAAATCTTATAGTCATATTATACTGAGCGAGTATAATATTTGCTAATGGATGCTGGGAAATGAGCTGAATAATATGTAATATGTACATATAGATAGCTAAATCAATTCATTACAATTAATTACTTTGACTAGTTTTAATATGTTTTGCGTTGGTCAGGCAAGTGTGTTCATTTATGTACCACACTAATTTTCGTTAATATATAATTATATATGTGCGAAAACACTGTACTATGTAGCTATAATAACGTACCTCGCTGGCGGCCCGTCCAAATGATTGCCTTGTATGTCACAAACAAACAGTGAACTCGACTAATAAATTAATATAGGGAAGTATTACAAAATATGACAATAAGGATTGCTTTGGGCAGTTTAGGATGATAAAACACTGCATTTTGAAGAGACGCTTTGTTTTAGCAATCCTTCAAATTTAATTTAAAATGTCTATCATTTAACCTGGTGATGTATAAAGTGTAAAGGCTATTATCCCTGTTTTGCAAAATACAACATTTTGATCGTTTCATGAGCAGTCGATCAGTTAGTCTAGGATACTGTAAAACAAGGACAGGCTACGTACATTTATCTGCATGCATATAGGTAAAAACACAACTTTAATTTTAAAACTACATATAATGCGACACGACTCGACGAGTAGCAGTAGCTCAACACTTTCTACAATGTGAAGACTAACAACAAAACTGGACTGACTGACAAGACACCCTTCACCCACATGACCGACCTTGCCTTGACAAAACGATTTACTCCAGTACAGCATTACACAAAAACTTGATGAAGAAGTCCACTATCTGACTTGACATAGCACCGTGTTACTGTTAATCTCTTCAATCACACTAACACATCCACGCTTTCTTCTTGTTTTTGACGTAATCACGCTTGTATATATAGACCTAGGTTAGCTTGTGTAAATTAGGTTGATGATGAATTTGAAATAAATTCGAAATTATATCACTGTTGAATATTGTGTCTTCTTGCTCTATTTAAACATTAAGTTTTAAGATGGAACTTCTATTCGGAGTTTGTTTCCAACTAAATTTATTTAACAACTTTTCAAAATAATTTGTCTTCACAAAACAATTTCATATATATTACCTCAACACTTTCTTTCAATATGCCAGATGGAGAGACAAAAATTTCATTCCTTCAGGAATAGAAAAAAGAATAATTATTAAATACTAACTATGAACGGAATTGGCACGATATGGAAACGTTTCACGGAATAATCGAGTTTACATTATACTTGATTGGAATTCGCGCAGTATTACAATTCTGAATTCTCGCAGACATTCCAGACAATATACATATACTGTATATATATGAGCGAAATTAATACTGAGCAAATCCGCTCGAAAAGGTTTACTGTTTTTAACACGCATCCGCCAAAAATAACTGTAAAATGCGTATAAGGCTGAGCAATCGCTTTATATATTTGCTAGACGTGAAGGCTATCTTTGCCACTCATTGCAAAAACCAACTTTGTCTTGTTGAGTAGAAAAGCATCTATTGCATAGAAAATAAAGGCTTTTTATCATTTCGTTTTACCAGTATGTCAGTCATGCTTGGACTAAAGTATTTGAAAATAAACAAACACATTTGATCTCAAATCTAGTTCGCCACACTGGAGCTTTTCAGGAATTTAAATAAGCATTGTGCAAAAAATAAATAATTACTTCCGGTTAAGGTCGGCCTGTATTTCTCGGGAAAATATTTTTCAGTATGGACCTCCCACTCCGATAAATAACGTATATATATTCTAGGCCTGGCTATCTTTTACACTCATTCAAAAACCAACTCGCAACAAGCTCGCGGCGAGTACTATATCTAATTAAAATAAACTGTCAAGCATCGTGATTGGATAAAAGTATTCGCAACGAGTTGGCATGTGATTAGTGAAAAAGAGCATTTACGGCTTTAGTCTGTTACCCTAGTTTGTTTGGAATCATAAGCTTTTGCTCATTTATTTATTTGATGTTTTGTCTTGAAATTAAAAAGCCGAAAGCTAAGCCAGTTCTAATTTATAGTACTTGGTATCGTCCACCAGGTTCTAATATGGAATTCTTTAATGATTTTGAAAATTTCATAAAAGAGATTGACAACGAAAACAAAGAAATGATCATAACAGGTGATTTTAACTGTGACATATTATGCTGGACAGCAACTATATAGGAATAACAACTCCAAACGATTGGATGACCTCTTAGATATCTACCAACTACAGCAACACATTGATAAGCCAACCCGAACAGCCGACTCAACAAAAACACTAATAGACATTATAATTACAAAAAGTGACGATACCAAAACATCTGATTCAGGAGTGATTGCTTTGGGAATAAGTAACCATGATCTGGTGTATATTTGTAGGAAAATAAGGAGTAGCTAGAGAAACGCCGAAAATAGTAGAAACAATTAAGGAAGTTTAACGAAAACGAATTCGAACAAGACTTAGCACAAGCGTTTAACTACTTTGCATACAACTCTGATCCAAATCATGCCTGGCAGGAGTGGAAGGACATATTTTTGTCTATTTCTGACAACCATGCTCCCTGTCGTCCTAGAAAAGTTAGAAACGAGCATTGCCCATGGTTGAACAACGAAATTAAAAACTTAGCTGCCAACGAGATTACCTTAAAAAAAGGCAGTGAGACTGTCTGATCATGAATTCTACTGCTTATACCGAGGCTTATAAAAGATGCAAAAACCAAGTTACCAATTAAACTTATTAGGGATGCAAAAGCACACTATTATAAAACAAATCTGGAACAATGCAAAAACAGCAAAGATAGCTGGAGATTTATTAATCATTTACTCAACAGGAGAACCACTACAACAATAATCAACCAGATCACAGTTAATGATTGGACAAACAATTACTGGTAACGATAATATAGCAAACGAGCTTAACAATTATTTTTGTGAAATTGGCCCTAAGCTTGCACAAACTATACCACCAAGTAATGTAAACCCACTTCAATATATCACTGCTTCAATATATCACAAAACACTTAATGTCTTTTCCCTCGGCAAATAGTACAGTAGTAATTCGTTTTCCCTCAAATCTCAATGTTTTCCTCGACTTCGTCTCCGGAAACATTGAGACCATCGGGAAAACAAAACAAACTATTTCCCTCGGGAGCAGATATTAAGTGTATAATAAGCACGGGGGAAGACTCCACCATGGCGCAGAACCCGGACTATATGTAAACATTTGGATGCCTTGCCGACTATTGAAAAAAATATGCTCGTCTCATAAGTTGTTTTGAATACTCTAATTACACTGACCTGAAAGGTAAGTGTCTTAAATCCCTAGTTTTCTGTTTTCTGTTTTTTTCGTCGTCGAGAAATCGAGTTTGCGTTCGCGCATCGCAGGCTCAGGGTGCAACGATTAATCCAAAATGCCATCGATTCTTCGACTCCACGATTCATATATAATAGTAAGAAGCTTGTATTTATGTACGTACTAGGTTGCACGGTATAGGGTTGAAAAGTTGCCAATGATAAGGTGGTGCTTTTTGTTGTCAAATTATTGATTTTCTTGATCTACCGCTCAAATTATTGATTTTCTTGATCTCTTATTGATCTACCGCTGAAACTTTTCTATACGAACTCTCTTGCTCACCACTCCCTTGTCTATTACACCATAGCCAATCTCGTTCCCGAGCCTGCGATCCTCGGGAAGGAAACGAAGGCTCTAGGATAATCCGTTGCCGAAAGCCAGGAATTCTGGCTAAGATTGAACTGCACATTCCATATCAACGGCCAATCAGATTCCTCCCTGAAACGGATTATCCCAGAGCCTTCGTTTCCTTCCCAAGGACAGCAGGCTCAGGGAACTAGATTGCACCATAGAGCGCATGTCGTCGTTTTCAGGTCAGTGTGAACGCCTGAGTAGGCGTCTTGTTAGTTAATCATAACACTTTATGAGATCGCACTGTTTCCACTACATGTCCATCGATTGTTAAAGTCAGTTTTCCACTTCAACCGTACCGTAACGAAACGTACTGTTGAGCATGCGCAGATTGAAAAGAGGTTAATAAATCCACGTACTTGCGGGTGTATTCGGTTATTCGCGTATCAAAATGGAAAGTTCGTCGCAAGTCAACTTTTTGGCGTACTACGGAAGTATTAACCAATCAACATTCCATAAATTTTGAAATTTAAAAATGTTTTTGATACGCTTCGGTACGGTATACTTTAAGTGGGGAACTGCTTAATAGTACAAGCTGAGGGGTTTCTTTGAGACACTGTAATAGACTCGGAGTTCTTTACACTTTTTAGCATTCAGCTTCATCCAATTGTTGGAAGCTCATAAATGAATAGAATTAAGGGTCGATTGAGTAACAGAAGTAGCATTCGAGGAAAGGTGTTCAGAAGTTGAGATATCGTCCACAAATTTCCACATGCTACTATCAGTTGAATTTACTCTCAAGTCATTAACCATAACCAATAATGAAATCGGTTCCAGTTTAGTCCTTTGAGGACTAACTATTTATTCAAGAATAAGATGTTTTTGCGCTTGTAGTGTACTTGTGAGCATGCACCACACGGTAGTACTAGAGTATGTCTGGTTAAAGCAATAAAGTTGTAACCATGACTACAAGGTTTCACGCAAGAAATAATTACCACCTCACCCTAATGTTCACAATTGTAAATATTTACCCTAATTTGATGCTAATTGCTCCCCCTGATCCTGTCATCCATCCTTTACGATGAAATTCTCGACATATCTGAGGAATAAGATTGCGTGGATGGTCGACCTGTTGAAGATAAATAAAGTAGTTAAAGTTAACTGCAGTTAGCGTCAACTGCCGTAAAACTGTAGTTAGTAGCTACACGACCTAACTGCGTTGTACAAAACGTAGTTAGGCGGATAGTTAACTAATCGCGTAGTTAACTGTGCGGGGGCCGTTAACATGACTGTGGACTCGCATATTGCAAATTGGCGCTGGAATTTGATTCAAAATAATGAAAAATAAACAATCAAAGAAAAAGCAGTTTTTCCGTGAGATGTCTACGTGATTTGAACAGTTTATAACTGTCAGGAAACATTCACAGGGAATATAGCGAATGAAAATTCCAGGAAGGCGTTGTTTTTCATTATTGTTTCACTGAAAATGTTGTTCTCTCCTATACAAGCGCCATTTTTATTTAACTGGGTCTGGGAATTTGAACTACACAGTCCATGCAGCCCCATGCAGCCGTAAATTATAATGCAAGAGTTTATTTAAACTACATTAAGCTGACTACTGTCAGGGCTTGAATTTTAAAAGTTAGAGCATTATCCAGTAGGATACTAGTACTGTAACTTGAAACCTGGTATCCATGCATTCAGAAAATCTAGCATCTCACATATGGATCAGAGACGTGCAGGCTAGGGACGAGCTGACTAGGGACGAGCTGACGACAACTTGCTGTGGGCCCCCGCCATCATGGACCCCTCAATTTAAAACATTGGAAAAGATAAAAAATATAGATTTTAATTTTGAAAATCAAGATTAAGATATATTACAATCTATATTTTAAAAATCTAAATGAACAAAAATATTGTCGAAAAAATTATCAAAGTACGGTACATTAATTCGAAAGTTACTGAAAAATTGTATGTCCGGAAATGTGTTTCTTCCCCCGCCCACTCGCCAACAATTTTTGGGGGAAATATTAATTTGCAGCTGAAATGTTTGAATTCATGTTTGATCATGCAGCCTGACTGGGCCTGGGCCCCATCAGACATTGCTCATTCGTTGTCCTTATCAAGACCCCCAGCACTAGCTTGAACAGACATTTGTCAGACCCATGTGAGATTACAATCCACACTGCAAGAGCAAAAGTTATACCACTTACTGTATATGACGTCTTACAGTAAGTACCGGTTAATGTATACCCTGGGGAAATTCCATATTAATGATATGTTGGGCATGCCAAAGGTACTGTAACTTATACTGCACTATTAATTCATTCCCAATGTGCCCTACTTTATCATTTTACCCTTTTGCATTCTAGTTTGGTTGTTCAGTTCTAGTTCAGACCCATGCAAGATTCTTATATCAGTACTGTAATCCACACTACAAATATCACCAATAGTTATATGACTAACGACTCTACGTACATTGGAGGAATTCCACGTTAATGATGACTCAAATTCATGAATCAATATAAATTCAATATACTGTATAGCCATACAAAGATGTTATCAATGTATAGGTATATATTTAAGTGTTAATGCATGATTGGCTGCCTCTCAACTCATTGTTATGACAAAGTTACTTATTCATTTTCTCAACGTTGATTGGCTAATTTTCCTACAAATAACTGGGGAGAATATTACAAATCAACTGCAAATAACTGGTGCAGATAATTGTCTGAGCATGCACACTTTTAAAATCAATTGTCAATTGCAAAATATCAATTTACGCATGCTCATTTAAGATTTTTGGAAAGTAATTTTAATTTTATTGTGTGTATATATAAAATTATTAGGGGTGCACCGGAACCAGTGGCGGAAACTTTGCAAATTTTTTTTTTTTTTTTTTTTGGGGGGGGGGCGAGTGTCAAAGGCACAAGATTTGTAGGGGGGTCTGGGGGGGAGCATGGAGCTCCCCCTGGAGCTCCACCCAGAAAATTTTTAAAATTTGGATCCCTGAAATGGAATTTGCAGCATTCTGAGAGCACATTTTGTAAGAAATTCAATGATTTTAAAACATTAAGTTAATGGTGCATTTTGGTACGAATCATGTGGTAAGCATAAAAAAACGGTAACCTCAACTTGCAGTACGTAATAAATCAGAGAAGTGAAAGAACACCTGAAAATTCCTACCTATAGAATACAGTAGATAGTGTATAGTCCGTAGTAAATTTGATACAATTAATTGCTATTGTTTTATGACACACACATATACATGCATATATATTATATATGCATGTATATCATAAGTCTATATACAGATGTAACTGGACACGATTAAGGTTACATTCATTGGTATTGTCTCCATATTGACTCTGCCTTGCTTAAAACCGAGTGCAAACGGGCGAAGATTCTAATTGCTGCTGGAAAGAACATCGACCCTGAGCTGAACCCCAAACTTATTCAAGGTGATCGCCATATCAAAGACCTTAATTGCCAGTTGCATGGTACTGCAACCGTAGAAAGAAGCTTCAGTGTTATGAATCGGATATTGAGCTGGGCTCGTAATGAATTATACATTCAAGTCGTTTCGCCCCCAAGTTGATTTGCCCCAAGTCGTCACCGACTTCGTCAAACCTTTTCACACTTTGGTTTTCGTTTGAAATGTCAGCTTTGGCTTTGACAAGTTTGAAGCGTGCATGCATTAGCGTTGGCCAGTGACTTTATGTTGCTATCCATGAATAAAGACCTGTTAAAAAGGATAAACTTGGACAAAGTGCTTGATCGATGGGTAAATCAAAAATCCCGAATAGTATAGTTTAAGTAAAGACTTGTAGCACAGCTAGCGCTTAAAACTAATTTAATCTGACTTTTTCAGAATCATACTGTAACACTCATTGTGTGACTTGTGAGATCATAAATTTAGAATACTTTAGTTTGTTTTTAACTTGTTTATTAAAACTTGAAATTTCATTGCTGCTGTTATGGTAACAAATAGTGCTTTCATTTTTCCAAATGAATTATGAAATCTAGCTAAAATATAATTTTAGTAAAATTTGAGGCCCCCCCCCCTAGTTCCCGCCACTGATGTCCGAAACCTGGATTTTTCAGAGTTCTGATTCCAGTGCTGGCCAGAACTAATAAAAAAAGCATGGCCGGAACCGGAACTCTGTCTTTTTTAGAGAGATAGAATATCAAACGTTTTTGTGTGTAACAAAAGTTCACAGTAGCAAGAAATTTGGACTACACAAGGAAAATGTACATTATTAAACACTTCATTATGACTTTTAACACTTTTATTCTAACATTTGCGAGCTCTCTCCTTGACGACTTTCAGAGTATCTGCCTGTCTGGCAGCAAACAAAGTAACATATGACTATATATGGCTTAATGAATCAGTTCCGGTTCCAGCCGGAACCCCTAAAAATTATAATCTACAACAATGAAATTTTCAGGTATTGTTATTGTTCGGATTTGTTGAACTTTGTGGCAGCCACAAAATTTCCCAAATGAATAAGTAAATGGTAAAACAATTATTGAAATTGGTTATCGCAAAATATCACAGGACTATTTGTTAGTGGCCCACAGATCAATTATTTGCCTCTGCCTTTGACTTTGGCAGATGCCGGGATCCCGCCTAAGCGAGATCCCATACAAACACTTCATCCTAGTTAGGCAAGATGAACTTTTCCCTTGAACATGTGTAAATGGCTTTTCTTCCTCCCAGCAATGTATTTTCATTGTCCATATGAATACGCTATCCCACCTAGACGGGAAACTTCAGGATGAAAACATCCCGCGTAGGCGGGATCATATAAGCAGGTCCTCAAATTTAGTTATACTTAACCTGCACTCAGGCCTATAAATAAATAAATCTAGGCCTGATACAAACCTTAAGTAACAAAAGTCCATGTTTTTAGTTTTTACAACGGTATTTCGATTGTAAATCT